AGGCCAGGTTCGGGCCCGCGCCCCAGCGGGGGGGGGCTTCCCGGGTCGTGCCAGATGAACCACGTCGCCGGAGTAAATTTTCATCCTAGTCAAGGAAAGCAATCGCGGGGGCGCGCCGTGCCTGAAGGTCGCGGGCCGGGGCGCGCGCTACTCGATGACCCATCGAGTTCGAAAGTCAACGAAAACACCGCGCAATGCGTCGTTAACCTTCTGCAGGTGCTGGCCGGGGGCGTTCTGGCCTCCAGAGTCCCCGCTCGCGGGCGAGTCGGAGGAGTTCGCGGGCGTTTTCGCCGGCAGAGGCGCCGAGGAAGGTGGCCTGGCATCCGCGATCGACGCTCGGGCACCGTGGAAGCATGCGAAGACGGAAAGAGCGGGGGGGGATGTCGAGGCAATCTGTTCAAAGGCCCGCGAACTGGGCCCCCCCGAAAGTCGGGGGGGAGCAGCGGTGTTGGCGATGTCGCGCGATGCGGCCAAGGACCGATGCACCAACATATCAGGAGCCACTCCAGTGCAACGTGGATTGGGGCAACTTCTGCGTCCACCCGTGAGTCTAATATCCGATGTCTGCATGGATGGGCGGCTGCAGACCCAGGGTCCCGACGCGGAGCAGCAGGGGGCACGCGGCCTACGACTGGCTGCGCGTCGGGGTCGATGGGGGCGGACGCGCACCAGTCGATCATGCGAGTGCTCGCCAGCAGAACAAGACCGCGAGCGCTGGCGCAGCAGGGAGATTGATTTCGAGCGTGGAGGAAGTTCTCGAAGGACCCGTGGCGTCCTGACCACAAGGGGCAGCGACGGGGTGGCCCGCGCGTGATGCTGATCGCGAATGGCGAAAACGCGTGGGTGAACAACAAAGGCAAGTTGTGGCGGCGCAGCCCTCACCAGGCACGGTTGGCCATCAGCGACGAGCGCAGGGCGGGCGAGCTGCTGAGCGCTCGCAACGACGGTATACGGGGGAAGCTGGGTCGACGTGGAAAGAGTCAGGGCTTCGCGGACATTTCAGCTGTAGGCCCTCCACTGGAGCGGGCCCGGGGCGGCGGCCAGGAGCTCCCTCGACGCGAGGGCCCTGCTCCAGTCCTGGGAGCGCGCCGCCTCCCTTGCCGGGGCCCCCGAGGGGCCTGCCGCGGATGCGGCGCGGCCCCGAGCGCAGCCTGCGTCGCCATTGCCTCGCGAGGGGCACAAGGAGGGGGGATCTCTTGCTTTCCGCAGCCCGCCAGCAAAGCCCGCGAGGATACTGGAGCGGGTGGCCCGCCTAAGGACAGGGGGGGGCGCCAGGATGCGAGGGAGCTTTGCTCGGGAAATCAAGGCAGCGCTGGAGGGGCATCCTGAGCGCCGCGCGAAAGTTCGCAAAGGTCTTCCACCGCAGGATGAGGAGATGACGAAGGAGATGGCCGCCGCGGCTCGACAGAGCATGGAGGCAGTATTCGGTCCACCAGGAATGGAGCTGGACGCCACGGGCCTGCGCAAAGGATCGGCGCGCAAGGTGGTGGAAGGCAGCCCCGACGTCGAATCCAATCCGAGGGGGGGTCGATGCGGCGGCGGAGCAAGCGGCGGAGCAGAAACGGCGCCAAAACCTCGGCGCCCGTGCCGAGAGCAGCGGTGACCAAGTGATGACGACAGCTTGAGAGGAGGAGCTCGGGAAAGACGTCTTCTTCTTTCAGGCCACGCCCGAGTGCGACGAGCGCGACGGCACCCATGTCACGATGGCGCGGCGGCGACGAGACGCAGGAGAGCCGCATCTCAGCGGAGGAGTGGCCGGATGCCGCGGAGTGGGAATGCGCGCCGCCCGGTGGAGGTGCGCGAGCGTTTAGTTCAGGCGAGAGTCCGAAGGTACGAACGGCGCCGCGCAGGCAGGGCATCGAAGATCGCATCGCCCCGTCGCGGCTTGCCCGGAGAAAGATGCCCTGAGCTGCCGGGCGCGCCGGCGAGCCTCAAGCGCCATTGGTGCGCGCGTGGGGATGCAGATCATGGCTGCTTATCACTGGCGCTGCAAGCCCTTGCTGCGTCGACCGGCATTCGGACAAGCTGGCGCGGGATAATTGGCGAATGTGCGCTGAACAGCCGCGCGCAGGACTGTCCAACATTGGGCCTGGCCAGCTCATTGAGCAGGTGCCCGGGGCGCGCGGGCCAGGACATGCACTTCTGCGCGTCGGCGAGGGCCTGAAGCGTGACTTCGCGGAGCTGGGGCGCCGTCGAAGCGCGCTTGACCCGAAAGTATTTTTTTGTATCCGGAAGGTGCGCCGATGACGCCGCTGATCCGTCTGGCCGACCTCGGAGGCCAGCGTGGAGTCGCTGGGCCCAGCATTCAGGCTCTGCCAGAAGCGGGGGGCGCAGCGGCAGCGAAGGTGGGCGACGTCTTCGACGTCGGCGCCCCCCGCCACCAGCAGCAGATGGGCGGGCCGCGCAGCCGGCGGAGGTTCGGCAAGGCCAAGGCGTCGACGAAGAGAAGGAGGGGGCCATGTTCAATGGGAGGCGCTACGCCCAGGACGCAGGGCTCATCCATCGCGCGCCCATGATGAATGTCATCGGGGAGCGGCCATCACCAGCGCGAGCGCCGAGCGGGGAAGCCGGGAGGGAAGCGCGCGGCCCGGGACAGCGAGGCCGAGCTCTGGATTGGCTCGCGCAAAATTTTCGGGCGGACGGCAGTGGTCGGCGCAGTCAGCTCCGGCGGGTGCTGCGCGAGACGACGACGTCGAGGAGACGAACGAGCTGGCTATGCACGTGAAGAACACTGGTGGTCTGGGCATCGCGGCGAGATCAATTCCGTTCGAGAATTGGAGGGCGGGCTCCTGTGTCAGGCGCGAGATTGCATGGCAGCAGCGAGGGGGAATCTCGCGGAGCATTCGCTGCACTGGCCACTGGCGCGCGAGGTTGCCAGTGGAGAGCGACGGCCTGCTAGCCTGCAGGCTTGGGGCAGTGCGTTATCTAGCCGGCAGGCTCGACGCCGCACGCGGCGACGCTGATGCTCAACGCCGGTTTGGGCGGAGTTTGGGTGGATGGCGACCTTCTGCCGCGAGTTCGCGTTCTCGGGCTTCCGAGCTGGCGAACGGGAGCGATGGCGCGAGCGGCGGCGACTCTGCCCCCCGCCGGGCGCAACGACGAGGCAAGATAGGCCGAGGTCCTACGGGAGGGGCTCTGCGCGGTGGGTGCCAAGTCCTTGCGCGAACACCTCCAGCGGGAGATCGTTGGCGGGCGTGGCCGCAGGTGGTCCACGCAGATTCAGATCACACGCCGCGCCTTTGACCCCGCGGGGCGCGAGATTTGTTTGGTGGATCACCCAGCGATGATACTGGATGGCATGACGAAGCGCAGGGCCAATATGGATATCATAGCGAAGCTGGTGAGGGGTGGGTCGTTACTGATGCATCGTGAATGAGGAAGAGACCATGGAGGTTCATCGACAGCGAAGGGATGATGGACAGTTGCCTCACCGCTGAGCCGCATGATATGATGCAGCCGCGGCTTCCATTTCCCGCCCATCGGCTTTTTTGGGGGGGCGGTTCGATTGCAGTGGTGCAACACGTGTTGTATAAATGCCAGCAGGGAAACTAATGTTTGGGAGCTCTAGATTTCTTGCGATCTGTGTGCTCCTTGCCCTTCCATGTCGCCCTCCATATGCCTTGCGCCCTCCGAGCTATATCCTTTTTGGCTTGGATTGGCTTACCCGGTTCCCAACCTGATCCCTCCAGAGCACTTGTACCCAGTCGTCCCTATATCCCTCTCCCACGTCTCGCGTTCGTTCGCGCGATATACCTGTACTGTCTGACGCACGTGCATCGGGTGCATAGGAGACATCACCATCATCACCGATGTCATACATGATTCCCCATTGGTTTCGAAAGTACGCCTTGCGCGAACGTTTGTATCGCGAGGCTGGTCTCGCGGCGCTGGGGGGCCGCATTCACGTGCGTGGTTGGGTGCGCACGTTTTTTGTGGGCTGGACATTTGACCGTGTTTCTGCCCGCTGCCACACTCCCCCATTTGTTTCCCTTGTTACATATCTATGTTTTTTTGTTTTTTTTCTCTCTCTCTCTCTCTCTCTCTTCTTCTCTCTTTCTGTTGTATATCGATATCGCTCTCTCTCTCTCTCTCTCGCTCTCTGTTTCTTTCTTGCTACGCTGGCGAAGTCAAGTTCTCGGGGCAGATTCTGAGTGCGAGTTCACGTGCGGTTTTGGGGGAAACTTATTTGCTGGCGCATTCTTTCTTCACGAACCGCAGAGGAACAGTGTCCGTGTTCTGGGTGTGAAGTCTGCGCCAAAGCAACTGTTTCGGGTGCCGTCCAGTTACGGTTTCAAGATTGGGTTTCTTTGGGTTCTTGTGTTGGATGATCCGTCCTTCCTTCTCGCCCCCTGCTTGTCAAACCCGCCTTGTTTTTCCGTTCAGTCTTACTTTGTTTGTTTCGCCCGCGCCTCTCTCTCTCTCTCTCTGCCTTCGCCCTCGTGCTTGTTGCTGCGTTTTACTTGTGCGTTCCTCGCAAAACAACAGTCGCACTTGTGAAGTTGCTGGCGGGAGGGCTGCCAATTGCGCAGCTCACGCCGCTCTCTCGAACTCGTGGGAGGCGCAGCGAGCCACGTCTTATGCGCACCCACAGGGGGATATCTCGCATCCTGGGGTGTGCCAACTGCGCAACCGTCGCCACTTTCGTGGATTTCCGGAAGGCGCAGCGAAGCGACGTCCTACGCGCACCCAGACGGGACTTCACGCTTTCTTGAGGAGGCTGCCAACTACGCAACGGTCGCCATTTTCGCGGGCCACTTGGAGGCCCGGCGGAGCGACTTCTTGGGCTTGATCTTCCAGTGCCATAGCCAGTTTTTGTTTAGGAAAGGGGTCCGTCCCTGAGTACTTTGGTCAAGGAAGGGGACGAACTCTCGCACGCTCGAAATATGATGTTGCATTCCCCCCCCCCACTATATTTCTTCTCCCGCCAGAAATCCTTTGCCTCCCCCCCGTTCCAGAAGCAGTCTTATGTATTTCCTTGAGTCCGCTGAGCTTCCCCACAGGAGCCCGTCCAGAAGCACCCGCTGGGGTCCGCCGAGAGCCTTGAGATCGCCCCGTCGCGGCAGGAGCCCTGGCGCGCACATTCGGGGCAGCCCGGTCTGCCCCAGTGCTCTGGGGAAGGGGCCGTGCGTCGGCGCTGTTGTGTCCGCGGGAGGCAGGGGCGCAGGCGGGAGCAACAGCACGATCAGGAGCAGGACAGGGAAGATGAGGACGAGGGGGAGGGCGGCAGGATCTGGGCTTTTGCCGTATCGTTTGAGATGTCTGTGGGCCACGTGATGCCTGGGCGGCGTGACGCCATCAGGACTCCATACCAGCAGGGTGGAGTTCCCGTTCCCCGTATCATAAGAATGGGGGTTTTGTTCCCCATATCCCGAAGACGGGGCTTCTGGTTCCCATTATAAGGATGGGGCTCTTGTTCCCCCATATCCAGACACATTGTTATTGTTAGTACTCCGACCGCGCCGGCTCCTTCCACCTCCTCCTTCTCCTCGTCTCCTTCACCCAAAGTTTCACTCAGGGTCACTGCTCAGGTTATGTAATGATGATGATGGTCAGTTCTCGAGCAACAGCCGCGATGGCGTTGAGCGCCGCGCGCCATCTGACAGAATTTTCTCCGCCGGCGCCCTGAGCGCCCGATGATAAGAGTATCTTCGGCTCCCCGCGCGCCTGCCGACAACACTATCTCTGCTGGCGCCTTGGCTCAAACCTTTCCTGTGAAGGGCCTCGGGCGGCCTCGCGCGCCCCGCTTGGCCGCGCCCCGCCGGCGCCCGCGGCTGCGCCCTGGCCGGAGCCGGCGGCGGCGGCGGCGGCCCCGGCTCCCGCTTCGCAGGCGCGGAGCTGCTTGGCTCAGGCAGTGCCAAGGGGGGTCACCACTGGGGGGGTCGCCAGCTTCTCCTGGAAATCGAGGTTCCAGGATGGAGAGTCGAGGGGTCGAGGATGTTCTTGGACGTTTCTTTGCGTTTTCGGGGCTCTGGGGGGCCCAGTTCCTCGAGGACGTCTCGAGGAAGTGGCGTTTCCCCGAGGAAGTGGCGACCCCCCTGGTGGTGACCCCCCTTGGCACTGCCCCATTGGCGGCCTCGCCCCCCGTGCTCGCGCGAGTCCCGGACTTGCGCGAGGAGCTCGAGCGGCGCGTGTCGGCGCCCCCCTTCCAAGCTGGACGATCTGTCTGGACCCCTGGCCGGCATGCCCCGAGCCGGAGAAGGGATCCTTCGGCTGGGGTGTCGGGCTCGGCTTCGGGCCCTGCACGATCCTGCTGTGGGAGGCCTCTTTCCCCCTGCTTGGCAGCCGTGCGCGGCTGGCTCTTGCGCCGGCTCTTGGGCACCCAGGCGGTGGAGGCCGCCGCGGCGCTTTTGGCCGAGAGGTGGCCGGCAACTACCGCAGGCTCCTGCGAGGAGATGTCTCAGGCGGTTTGTTGCGTGCTCAACATCCTCCGCTTTCGGAGCAGATTTTGAGTATGTCTTGGGCTAATCGCTGGTTTTGGCACCTCAGAGAGGCCCAGATTGAGAGGATGCTTCGGACGGTCTGCTTGTTTTGGTGGCCAGTCTCGTTTGCGTTCAGAGCAGGATCAGAGGATGTCTCGAGCGAGGCGCTGGTTTCAGCATTCTCAACGGAGAGCCGCTAGGGTGTTCTCATTGGCCCGTTCGCGCTCAGATTGTGGGGTTGTCTCCAGCGGATTGCGCGTTTGGGTGCCCAGCATGCCTTGTTTTCAGCGCAGATGGTGAGGATGTCTCGAGCGAGGCGCTGCCCAGGGGGAGCCGTCAAGGTATATTACTTTTCCCCGTTCGCGGCCAGTGTGGGGATGTCTTAGTCGTCTTGCTTGTTTGGTGGCCCAGTCCTTCTTCTTTTTACCTAACAGCGAAGACTGATAGGTTCCTAGTGGGGTCAAAAGAGAGCATCCTGATTCCCCAGGGGGGTGTGGCAGATGCCGGACGGGTGCCGGGGAAAACCGGGGACTCCCCAGGACTCCTATAGTTTCCTATAGTTTCCTATGGATTCCTATTCTTCGCGTTCCCAGAACACTATTCCCAGGCCACATTTTGAATGCCCGGAGCCAACTGTAGGCCACTTCGTGTTCTTCGTCTTCCCAGAACACCATTCCCAGGCCACATTTTGAATGCCCAGAGCTAACTGTAGGCCACTTCGTGTCCTTCGTGCTCCCAGAACACCATTCCCAAGCCAAATGTTGATTGCCCGGAGGCAGCTGTGGGCCATTTCGTGATCTTCGTGTTCCCAGAACACCAGTCTTGTGCCATATTTGGAATGCCCGAGCTGATGCAGGCTGAGGCCGAGGCAGGCTGAGGCCGAGGCAGGCTGAGGCTGAGGCTGAGGCACGCCGAGGCAGGCTGAGGCTGAGGCTGAGGAGGCAGGCTGAGGCAGGCTGAGGCTGCAGGCTGAGGCGCAGGCTGAGGCCGAGGCAGGCTGAAGATGTCTGAGGCTGATGCAGGCTGAGGCCAGGCTGAGGCTGAGGCCGAGGCAGGCTGAAGCTGAGGCTGATGCAAGCCGAGGCAGGCCCGTAGGCTGAGCTGAAGCTGAGCAGGCTGAGGCTGAGGCTGAGGCCGGGCAGGCTGAGGCTGCGGCAGCTGAAGCTGAGGCAGGCTGATGCTGAGGCTGAGGCTGATGCTGAGGCAGGCTGAGGCTGAGCCAGCTTAGGGCTGAGGCTGATGCAGGCTGAAGTCTGAGGCAGGCTGAGGCTGAGGCGCAGAGGCTCATGCCAGGCAGGCCGAGGCTGATGGCTGAGGCTGAGGCGAGGCAGGCGAGCTGAGACAAGGTGATGCTGAATGGCTGAATGGTGGGGGGGAAGGGGGGGGTGGGGAGGAAGGGAGGCTGATGCAGGCTGAGGCTGAGGCAGGCTGAGGCTGAGGCTGAGGCAGGCTGAGGCTGAGGCTGAGGCCGAGTCAGGCTGAGGCTGAGGCCGAGGCAAGCCGAGGCAGGCTGAGGCTGAGGCTGAGGCTGTTGCTGAGGCAGGCTGAGGCTGAGACAGGCTGAGGCTGAGGCTGAGGCAGGCTGAGGCTGAGGCAGGCTGAGGCTGAGGCCGTGGCAGGCTCAGGCCGAGACAGGCTGAGGCTGAGACTGAGGCTGAGGCTGAGGATGAGGCCGAGGCAGGCCGAAGCTGAGACAAGGTGAGGCTGAATGGGGGGGGGGGGAAGGGAGGGGGGGGGAGGAGGGGAGGCTGAGGCAGGCTGAGGCCGAGGCAGGCTGAGGCCGAGGCAGGCTGAGGCTGAGGCTGAGGCAAGCCGAAGCAGACTGAGGCTGAGGCAGGCTGAGGCTGAGGCTGACGCAGGCTGAGGCCGAGGCAGGCTGAGGCTGAGGCTGAGGCTGAGGCTGAGGCAGGCTGAGGCTGAGGCCGAGGCAGGCTGAGGCTGAGGCTGAGGCAAGCCGAGGCAGGCTGAGGCTGAGGCTGAAACTGGGGCAGGCTGAGGCATCCGTAGGAATCCATAGGAATCCTTAGGAATCCCTAGAAATCCTTAGAATCCGTAGGCATAGTTAAGCATCCTCAGGAATCCTTAGGAATCCTTAGGATTCCCTAGGAATCCTTAAGAATCCCTAGGAATCAGGATTTCTAATGATTCCTCAGGTTTCCCAAGGATTCTTATGGATTCCTAAGGATGCCTAAGGATGCCTAAGGAAGCCTTAGGAATCCCTAGGAATCCTTAGGATTCCATTGGATCCTAAGGCCGTTGCCACTGCGACTGTCATTTCGAATGCGACTGCGACTGCGAGAACAGCAGAATTCTACAACTGGATTCTCACCTGAATATTAAGGGGAATGCTTCCAGGTATGCTTATACACATCGCTGCTAGGTTGCTTTGCCGGGATAATCAGGACCTCACGGTCGCCGCGATATAGCAGTCGTATCATGCATGTGGTGGGCACCCAAAGGAAGAACCGCCTGGGAGGGGGACATTTGCCAGGGCGGAGGAGGGAGGAAGGATGACGGATGAGGAGGTAGGAGTTGAAAGAGGCGGAGCAGGATGAGGACGCAAGTGGGATGGGGGGGAAGGATGGCCGCCAGAGAAGAAGATGAGGAGGAGGCGGTGGAGGAGGAGGAGACTCCTCCTCTGTTATCACGCTTGCTCCCTCTTAGGTTAGTCATACAGTATGACTCATACTCATGCTCAGACCACTCGGGCTCATTCACACCTGCACATGTCACGTTAAGCTGTGCCATTGTAAAACTCATACCCATCGGCTCACTCACATCAAGACTCGCTCACATTCGTTCAGACTCGCAGGCGCTCAGGCTCACCCGCATGCATAACCTCACACTCGGCCCACTCCTGCCCAGACTCATCTCGTACCCAGACGCTCGCAGCGTAAAAGTGCCAGTGATCTAGACGCACACTGCTCGATGCCCGCGTCGAGTCATATCTGCGCCGCGGTACGCAGCGTGGTTACCCTCCAAGGGCCTGGCGGCCGAAGTAACCCCCACCTCCGGATAGTCATCATGCCCTCCCCGTATCTCGGGGGCTCCCAAACTCAAACGACGCGAAGATCGGGACAAAATCGGATCGGGATAACTCGAAATCTCTGAAAGTCGGTGGGTTTGGAGGATGTATTGGGCGCCGCGGCCGCTCCAGAGCGTTCCGGAACGCTCTGAGAGCGCTCCGGAACGCTCTGGAGCGATTTATCCCGATCCTAGCCCTGTTTTACAGGGTGGTGACCACACCGTGTGGTGAGTCGGTGGGGATTCGGGGTCACCGCACGGTTTTGGGGACTTGGGTCGTTCTCCGAGGATGTCTCGGGCGACCGGAGCCTCCAGGGTCACATGAACCGTGTGGTGACGGACCGTGCGGTGAGGTCTTTGCGGATTTCGAGGTCACCGCCAGGTCTGTCACCACACGGTTTTGGGACACCCAAGTATCACGACTGAGCGTTGACTATCCCGGGCCGGTACATGTTTGGTCAGGGAAGAGAGGCGGCAGGACCGAACTTGATCATCGCGGGGGAAGTTGCGAATCGAAGTTGCTCTCTTCTTCTGTTGGGTAGCCAGGATTGCTAAGGAGTCCGTTCAATGTCTTTTGGAATCCTATGGATGTCTGGGGGATCTTTTGGATTTCCTATGGA